TTGAACAATTTGAGGGTTGATATTAACGTCTAAATTTTTAAGAACAACCATAAGATCGCATTTTTTCCATTGACATTTATATACTTTTCTAAATCTGTTTTTACTTATATAAACAAAATCTGTAAATTCTTTATAATCAATCAAATAAATGGTTTGCCATGAAATAGCATCTTTGAGACTGGAAATGAATGAATTTGCCATTATTTTTTTTTTTTAAAAAAATTAAATTTTAAACAAATTGGTTGCATATGTAGTAAAATTTGTAAGAAAAATTTTTTTTCTTGTTAACAGTTTCAATTAAAAATTATAAAAAAATCCTGTACATAAGTCAAGTGGATTCGGAATTTCTTAGTTAAATTATGGTTAGCGTTAGATATGGATCTTTATCTTTATACGTACATTAATAATTCTAAATAAAAATGGATGCAAACTTAATATGCATAACAATGAACAAACATTAAACAAATAACAAAAATCCTAGCCTAATTAAAGGCACATCCCTCAATTGAATGAATGAAAGAATCCGGCCAATCAGATTCTTTATTTAATTCATTCCGATTAGTTTTTGGCTTACATAATGCTGTAGTCGCGCTGCGGATCTTCAAAGTTTTTGCCTGTGTTACATAATTGTTTACTAAATTCCGGCCGGAATTAACAATTTAATTTTTCATTACAACAATAGAAAATTTTCACTTAACGTTAATAGTTCATTCTCCGACGGCAGCTAGTGGCCGTCATAAAATAAACTGTGTTCAAATAATAATATTTATTTTATTATTTATTAATTACAAAATGGAAAAGTTTCGATGATATTTACGGAATACGGGTCAACAATATTAAATTATATTACATAACTAGAATGAATATAGCACAAAAGCTGCATCAATTTCTTAGTTGGCAATGATGAATTTTTTTCAAGTGTCTTTGTCCGCCAAATTATTGCTTTTATTATAAGTATTTAAGTTTTTTTTTTATTTCATATCTTTAGCCAGCCATAATGCCGGATCAAATTCTATCAAAATTAGTATCGATTTTTAATTTTGTCTAAATTTATATCGATATTATAATTTTGTCTAAAATTATATATTTTAGCTTCTCCGGAATTGAATCTATATTTTAGCTTTCTCCGTAATTATACTTAATTTGGATAATTTCAATTTAATCAAACTGAGATTATGCTAGAAAGCTGTCGTAAGTCCAATTTACAGCTCCACCTTACAGTAAATCTGGATTTTGAGCAATCCCCATACTTCCAAATTTTTATTTCTTCCATTTGTAACCTCGTTTACCCTATAAGAAAAATGTATTGTAATTGTATGGGTTGGCTCGGAATGGCACGGATTTCGGTGGCACGGATCAAACCCGGATTTTGTACGTAAGAGGCTCGAAGTGGCACGGATTTTTGGCTCGTGTTGGTCCGTATACCAGTGCCAATTGGACCGTTAATTACTAGTCAAATTGGTACGGGTCTTGGTACGGACTTACGTGAATTCACGTACCATCATAATAACAAATATACATATTAAAACATAATTTACTTCAATTATCATCAATATTAAAGTAATTGCATATGTGTAAAATTCTGCAAGGAATATTTTTCGTTAAGATACCCAGAACAATTTAATCGGTGAAATTTTGAGATATAGCATTTTTTTTTCATAAAAAAAAACATTCGCTCTTGAGACACGTGCATATACGTATCATTCAATACGACCATTTTGTCGTAAGCAAAAGAAAGAAATGCATATGAACATGCCTTAGTAATCGTCTGCGAACTCACTCAAACATTTCTTTAAATCGTATGTAGTGACTTTAATGTTGTCTGATTACTTTGAGTTGTGTTTGTTACAAAGTACATTAAGTTAAACGACAGGTAAATATTTGATTATTATAACATTTTAAAAAAATAATAGGTTCGAAAATTCATAAATGATTGACAAATTATTTTTTGGCATTAATTGAATTATTGTGAATGAGATATTATTTATAATGTATAGAAATTTTAAGAAATTTATCACATATGTAGAAATGGTACTAACAATACGAAAAATAGGTGATTCTAAAAAAAAATAATTTAAGAAAAAATTTTTTTCAATGATTCCCGGGGTTTGGCATTTGAAATTTTAATTTTTAAAATCCCATCACTACACATATTTGAATAATTTAATTATTAAATTAAATATATCTTAAAGAAATTTAGTGTTAATGCAAAATTCCAATTAATTTTTGTTAAAGAATTCATTTTCAACTTTGTATTAATTCTTACTAACATTATTTAAGAGAAAACTTGGATGTACTAGCGCAGATTTCTTTTTTTACTCATTTTTGAAGAATTATTTTTAAAGAAAATGCGGACATATTTTGTTAAACTTTTTATTGTCTTTTTCATGGTTTTTTTTGTTAACATAGTTATATCTGATAATGATCAATGTTTTCGCAAAAAGAACGCACAAGAAGCTCAAAAGCTTCAAAAAAATTTTAAGGATATTACAAGGAATACTCCTTGTAATGTTGGTGACCAAGCTTGTATAGGAAAAGATTTTGCTCAATGTGCCCAAAAAGATAAATGGTCAATTATACCGTGTGGTAATAATTTAGTGTGTGTTGTGCTTCCTCTCGTACAAAAAAGAGGTATTTCTATTACATGTAGTAAGTTTAAATTAAAATTTTAGAAAAATAAAGTTTAGATTGACTTTAAACATTGACTTTTTCTTCAATAGATACAATAGATGATCAAAATTCAAGAATTCAGGATTCTCTTAAGGCAGCAGAAGGTTGTTAAAAGTGAAACTGATATGATAATATTTGAATTTTTTAAGTTATTATACAACGACCAAGATCATTACTGTGTAGGTCAAAATTGACATAGTGTGGCTTAAATTTCAGAAATGATCTTTTAATTAATTCTACAAAAAAAAAATAAATTTAAACTTTTCCAAATTTAACTTCTTACATACGACAAGTACTTATGTGCCAGCAAATTTTTTATCAATACTGTTTTTGATATTACAACTTATGTAATACTCCTATCGCTATTTCCCGTCGAATAATGGATTTAAAGTTCTGATTTGGATTCTGCAAATTTCCTATAAATCTTAATAAATAATAATAAAAATAATAATAAAGTACTCTTGATGAAAACTGAAAAACGCTTTAAAGATATGTAGTAATCTTCTTATTTATTAATAAAATTAGTTTTAAAACAAATTACATATTTATATATGAATATTTTACTAATCAATTTACTTATAAGATTTTTAACCTGAAATATAACCTATATATAAATTTATATCTAACCTACTATGTAACTAGTAACAAACTCTTATGTTATAAGGCTCCATAATGATTCATAATCTAAATTAACTAACTTTTCAGACTGCTGCTTTTCGTTAATCAGTGTATTGGGTTTTTCTACATTTTCCACTGAATGCACAGAATGGTCAACTAATTCAGAAGAATTTTCTAATTTTCCCGTCGACTGCTCTCCATATGCAGATACAGAAGGAGGAGTCTCCAATTTATCTGTCGACTGCCATTCATTAAAACCATAGCTTGTTAGTGGAAATTGGATTTGATTTGATGAGTCTAAGCCAAGAATGTTGTACTCTGATGGAAAAAATTGATCAAATCCTTGTGGATAATTAAATGATATTTGTTTGTTTTCGTCAAAATAAGTTTTTTGGACATTGTCACTTTCACTTGACTCT